GCTCATTTCATAGACAACAGATGGCGCCACAAATGGTTGTCCGATCCGTATAACGGGACTGTCCATTCTATACCCACTATAAACCTTATTCTATGATCAATGTCAGTCTTTTATTTAGGAGCTAAAAAATTTGAGATCATTAAAAAAAAATTCCTCATGAAAATCAATTTTTTTCTTCTGCAAATTTTCGAACGGGAGGCAGGCATTAAAATCACCAATATTCTCATCAGCTTAGTAGCCACATTCAGCCCTCAAAATGCCAGACAAAAAAAAATGACTCCACTAAACAGCCCCTATCTCACAGTCTATTAGTGAAGTTCTACAACGGGCAGAAAATTGGTTTAGTTCTATTGTATTTTTGTATTATTGTATTATTCTATCATTCTAGTTGTAGAACTTCACTAAGCAAATAAACTCAATATGAACCGAAAAGCTATTGACAGATTCTGACAGTTGTCAAAATGAGTAAAGTAACTATAGGGATTCTAGACCGGAAGTGGCCCCATTCTCGTTCTGGGGCCCGCGCCCGTCATCAGAGAAGCCCCAAATTGAAGGGGCCTAACCCAGGTGGGCCTGTGCCCCATTTCGTGGCCCCATTTTTTTCGTGGGCCCCATTTTTTTGGCAAGCCCCAATTTAAAGAAGCCTAACCCAAGTGACGTCAGCAAAGGGGGGGGCCCATGCGTGTCCCCGCTGCTAGACCCGTGGCCCCATTTTTTCGTGGGCCCCATTTTTTGACAAGCCCCAATTTAAAGAGGCTTAACCTAAGTAGCAAGCCCCAATTTGAATAGGCCTAACCCAAGTGTCGATAGCAAAGGGGGCCACATGCGTGTCCCCGCTGCTATACCCGTGGCCCCATTTTTTTTTTTTTTCGGTAGGCCCCATTTACATGAACTCATAACCTGAAATGAGATACCCCATACGAGATGACAGGTACGTGCGACGTTGTCGAAACTAATAATGTGCGACGTTGCCAATAAGATTTCCCTAAATCTAGGGAAAAAAAAATCGGAAAGGGGCCACAAACCAGACGAAACATCCTGACTCCAAAAAGGCTAGAAACCGTTCCAGTAGTAGCCAGTTACTCCAAAGCAACCGCACTACACAATAATCAAATCCAAACCTCAAGCAATCCAAGTTCACCAATCGAAGACGAACCCATCCTCAACATAAATGACAACTTCCAGTCAATAGTCCACGACGAAGAAACAGTCAGAAGTCAACTTGAAAATACAATCTGGGCAAAAATCTGAAACCACACATATGCAAGCAATGGCATCACCCTGTGCATAATCACGATAGTATTGACGGTGGTCATGGCAGGTCACTACGCGCGCCGCCACCGCAGGCGAGCATCAAACTCACACAACCGACGCTTCGGATCAAACACCGCTAACAACGAAACACACAAATCAACAGATACGGATGACTCGTCCCCAGCACCACAGGAAATGATCGAGCTACGACCTCTACGCAGCATGCTTTCCACAGACAGCCGGGAGAATGTCTAGTTGCCATGTGCCCAAAAGCATTTCTGAAAATTTTGGCCATTTGATGCACATAAGAAAAAAAAGATTAATTAACTGCCTGGAATTTCCTTATTTAAAAACATTTGTTCAATAGAAATAATATAATAAAATATTCACGGTCAAGCGTGTCAGGTCACCAAAAGTTTCGACCTTTCACTATTCCGGAACATAATAGGTTCATGTCGAAACAAGGTTAGAGACTTAAAATTATGACAAATTATTATTAAAATTATTTTGACTTAGATTAATATAAATTGTGATATTTTTCCTAATAAAATCAGTATTCAACTAGTAGTCAAATATTACCGTTGTTTTACTCACAAAAACCTACTACGGCCAAGTCACCTTGCCTGTAATCTATAGGGAGAATGCTAGTAGTAGGTAATATAAAGGTTCAGGAATTCCCTGGCCTTTTCACTGTATGTGATTGCATATTTGGATTCTATGTAAAATTCTAAGCAGATTTCATGTGATATACCCTATACCTAAGTTCAACTGTTTTGGAAAATATATTAACAGTTGAAAATTGACTTTTTGTAACTTTGACACGCTGTAAAGCCTAAACGGTTAATTTTAGAGGAAAACCGATTTGATATTCACACCAACTGTGAATTTGAGCCATGATTAAAAATTCCAATTAAAGAAGCAGGCACGATTTACATTGAAAATAGGCCCCCGTAAATTTCAACCAAATTTCAATATTTTAAAGGTATCATCATTGCAAAAGAATATTTGAAATATAAAGAGGATCGTATGTCTGTGATAGCAGATATAGCTTATCAAAGTACGTAGATCCTGCAATGGTATGCATAGGAAATATCCGAGGAAATATCCGAGGAAATATCCCTACGTAGATTTTCTTGAATATCTCGAAAAATACTGACCCGATTTTGACGTTTTTGGGGTTTGATACCTACAAAAGGACCCCAAAACCGTCAAAACTGCATTAGTATTTTTCGAAATATTCAAGAAAATCTACGTAAGGATATTTCCTCGGATATTTCCTCGGATATTTCCTATGCATAGCATAGCAGGACCTACGTACTTTGACAAGCTATATCTGTTATCACAGACATACGATCCTCTTTACATTTCAAATTTTCTTTTGCAATGATGATATCTTTAAAATATTGAAATTTGGTTAAAATTTACGGGGGCCTATTTTCAATGTAAATCATGCCTCCTTCTTTAATCTCCGGTTAAATTCAAAGTTGTTGTCGAATGATAGCTTATGAAAATCTGAGATAGGGATGTAAAATCAGTTTTCCTCTTAAATTAACCGTTTAGGTTTCACAGCCTGTCAAAGTTGCAAAAAGTCAATTTTCAACTGTCAATATTTCCAAAACAGTTGAACTTAGGTATAGGGTATATCACATGAAATCTGCTCAGAATTATACGTAGAATCCAAATATGCAATCACATACAAGGTGTTCTATTCAAAATAGCGATGGTGCCATTGGTTTAGAGTAGAAGCGGCAACACCGCATAAACAAAAATATTTTTAAAGTATAGATTATGGTCACTTATCCCGGTTGCCAACTTTTCAAAATGATCCGCTTTTTAGTTCTCCATAAACGTCTAATACGCCATCCACCGTGAAACACCCTGTATTTTTCTTTATTTTGTCAATGAACTTTGATGTCAAAATGTCATGTCAAAAATCCTGACCAATAAAGGAACAACGACGTACGTTCAAAAAACCATAGTAATCTTTGTAGGAAGAAATTACTATAGAATTATTTATTCTATATACCTAGTATAATTCAATAACTGCACGGTTAACATTATGAAAATCATCAGACCACGGATGTTGGGTGAATTATTAGCAATCGAGAGAGCTGTTGAGCGTTGACATGCTGCCTTCGTACCGATGCCAAGTTCCGCCAGTGTCTGACGATTACTACCATGCATGTTTTTCGTTATACCATCTTCATATAAATGTATGCCTGAATAATTAAATGTGAGAAATTATTCATTTATTAGCTCTCACTTGATGGTTTGACTGTTAAACCACTATTGCTCAAGAGTATGACTTTTATGCTTATTCAAAAATACAATTTCTTTCAATTCAGCCAGCATCAATTTTCACCAACTTTTTGTGACGTTCCCTCTCAGACTAGAAAGTATAAATTATTTTAGAATCAAGTTTGTTTTTGCCTGTTTCATATTCTAAATATTTCTCCCCAAAGTTTCATTTTGCCATATCTCTAGGGAAAACCTATTGCGGAGCCTTTGGACACGCTTTACGACGCGAGTACACCGTGATAAGCCTAATTGTCAATAAAGCAGCCCGACTAATGGTGGCCTATCCAAACCGAGTCACTTGCGACCGCGAGACATTTCTGCACAGCAAATTGGAAGCCAGGAATTTTATTTTGCAAGAATACAAACCTTTGAAGGGAATTGTCAATCCAGGGCCGATTTACCAATTCAAGGAAGTCGAAATGTGAGGATTATTATGTAAAGTGTTGCTTTGTTAATAATATGTACTGTTTCCACATCTTTTAGCAAGGAGGAAGCTTTGACACTGTCATCAAGACCACTCTTGGGCAGAGAACAAGAAATGGACTTATACGGGCATCTTTATAAAGTAGCGAGTGAATGTAGACACAACGGGCTTCGAGGTGACGATGATGAGTTTTTTGGGATGCTTATAATCCAGGGTGAATCCAGACAAGGCAAAACAAGACTTTTGGAAGAACTGATTTACAGCACAGACCCTGAAACTCCCCTTTGTAGGTTCACGTTGGCGAAAGATGATGCAAAGGTAATAAATGTGTTCCAATAGCTTATTTGAAATTTAAAATGCACATTTCTCTTAGAAATCCTTTGGCACAATTCGTTTGCTATTCAATCCGCTTTTGGATCTGAATGAAAATTCTTCGATGTCTAAGCGAGAGGTTGTTATCCTGAAATATTTGACAAGCCGCAATGCGAACGCGGACGCATACTGTTTAAATCACATTTTTGATATAAATCTGAAAACTCCTCCTGGATATGATACTATGGACAGAAGTACCAAATATCGTCATTTGAAGCATGTGTTTACGAATTTATGTCAAGCAGTAAGAAGTACCTTTTTTTCTCCAAAGATTAGGGATCTATTATCCCCAGACATCGTCATTGAATTTGTTTTCTTTTTGCAAAGAGTTTCTTTTTCCCCAACTGTCATAAAAATGTGCTCGCTGCTTTCTACTTTTAATCTGGCGGAATAAAATTAAATTACTTTTTTTTCTAGGCTTTCTCAGTGTTTTGGGTAATAGCCATTGACAATGCGGAATTCATCGACGACGAATCCTGGGTTCTGATCAATATCCTAACGAAATTGAAGCTTTTATTTATCGTGGCTACAATGAATTTGCGAAGTATGCTGACACAAGTAGCCTTGGAAGTCCTTAAAATGCCTAAAATAAAAATTATCCAAATGAAATGCATTGACAAGTGGTTTCATGTGGGGCTGGTCTGTCAAATATTGGAGGTCGAAGCTATTCCGCCGGAATTGGAAAAGTAAGAATAATCAGACTGTTATATAATTTGCGGGATCTTTAAAACCACATTTAAATCATCCCATTATCAAGTTGGCTTTAGAGTTTAGAGCAGCTAAAAAATAGAAATTCTTCGGAAAAGAAATACGTGAACAATACTTTTTTTTTAAACTAGGTAATCTATGTTTCAAAATTGCAAGTGGATACTTCAAGGAAAAGTTTCATACAATATCTCATACATCTGTGTTTTACAACAGATTTATTGTTCATAAATGTCACCCCCCTCTATCTTTTTTATTTGACATTCTAGAAAGAAGTGTCCGAAATAAAAGTTTTTTGGTTGAAATTAAATTTTTTGAAAAATGAAATTTCGCATATACAGGGTGCTTTAAAAAGCTGATGGTGCTCCAACTTGCCTATTTTTAAGGGAATACCCTTTATATTATTGAATATTCGGATCCTACGTAAAACTCTTAGCAGATTTCATGTGATATGCCCTATACACAAAGACAAGTTCAACTGTTTAGAAAATGTTGACAGTTGAAAATTGACTTTCTTGCAACTTTGAGAGGCTGTAAGTAAAACCTAAACAGTTAATTTAGAGCAAAACCAACCGATTCAACATTTTCATCTTGGATTTTCATAGTTGACACCAACATTTGACACAAACTTTGATTTTAATCCATGATTGAAAATTCAAATTAAATTTAATCTTATTTATTTATTTATTTATTATTTATTTATTTATTTATTTATTTATTTGATACAATAGTAATAATACATTTCAAAGTATTTAATAATGTCAGCTAGATACACGATGAATTTGAAATTTGTGTGTGTCTCTAACCAACATTAAAACGATTTTACAAAATCTATTTATCATTGAACAGGTACACTATCCTATACTATTTACAGATATGGAATAAAAATGCATATGCTATTAGTAAATACTTAATTACAAATAGCAAAATCCTAAGAAAACCACACTATGTTTTTAGATATCGTTTCATAGTTAACTAAGATCCATTCTTTTAATGCGTTTCTGGTTTTTTTATTAAAATATTCATTTCTAAGGCCCAGTAAATAAAATACTTCTCTGTGTGAAAGAGAAGTGTTGCAGACTAGTTGTATATTTTTGATTTGTCACAGCTCTAGTTTGTACTACATGGTTAACTAGGTTTGTAAATATTTTAAATTTCAATGAAAATTGTATAACTCTGTTACAGTATAATTGCCTTATATTTAACATTCCGCTTTCCGAAAATATCAGTTTTGTGGGATATGTTTTTGATTTAAATAACATAATCTTTAAAATGTATTTTTGAGCAATATTTAAAGGTAGCAAGACTGACTCACAAGCTGATCCCCACGAGAGAATACCAAAATTCAAAATTGATTCTGCTAATGCTAAGTATATCATTTTTATTAGTTCTAAAGATAGTATATTTCTAAGCTGCGCAAACTAATATACTAATTTCCTAACCTTTTTACTTATGTAATCTATATGCACATCCCATTTCATAAACCTATCAAAATATACTCCAAGGTACTTATAGTCTGGCTAGCGAAACGGCGAACTGCAAAAGAATTTGCTACTTTGCCAAACTTGACGGAAATAATGATAAACACGTTGATGACATATTTTTTTTTGCTATATGGGCATGTGTAGTATTTCGAAATAGAAAAAAATCCGGCAACATTGCGAAATGATGGATGTGGAGAGGCGTGATTATTCAGAGGTATGATTCTATTGGTTAGAGTTTGAACGACAGCACGCAGTGGCGCGGTTATTGGCGAAACTAAAGAATTTTTTTCTAATAATTTTATTGGTTTATTTCCTTGGTGTTTTCGGTGCCACTGAACCGAAAGACATGGCTGTCATCAGGTGATGTCAGTTAAGGTGTCAGTGAATATTTTTAGGTCACGCCCCACTTTTCTTCCCCCTTTCGTCTCTACCAAGTTACCACTTGCCAGACTATAATAGAATTACATGATTCAATTTTTAGGTTACATTTGCATGATACAGATAAGTCGCAGTCAGAATTATGTAGGTTTAAAAAATATCTATAGGGCACATTACGCTTGTCTATAGAAAACGGAATAAATTTAGTTTTATCTATATTCAATGTCAACTTGTTCGAATCTAACCAATGTTTTATTTTGTGAAGATCCAATTCCGCTTTTCTATAAGCCTCGTCCCATGAGCTACCAGAAATTAATATAGCAGTGTCGTCTGCAAAACAAACGATTTTACCCGAAACTTTCAAAGACAGTAGGCTATTTACGTATATTGAAAACAGAATTGGACCCAGAACAGTACCTTGAGGCACACCAATAGCAACTTCCTGAGGATCACTGTATACGTCATTTATTTTAACTTTTTGAACTTTGCCTTCTAGATATGATTTAAACAGGTTGTACACTAAACCTCTTATGCCAATGCTTTCGAGGCGCTTTAAAAGAACTTGATTCGCAACCGTGTCAGAGGCTTTTCTAAGGTCTAAAAAGACAACGATTGGCTTACAACCTTTATTTATAGTTTTTGTAATAAACTGATTAACCTCGTGCAATGCATTGTCCGTCCCAACTCCTGGTTTAAACCCAAACTGATACGGAGAAATGGTACCATTTTCTTTTAAAAAATTCCATAGCTTTTCTTTAATACATTTTTCCACAATTTTGCTAACTACACTGCACAGGGCTATTGGCCTATAGTTGTTTTTATCAGTCTTGTCGCCTGATTTATGAATAGGTATAATTATGGATTTTTTAAATATTTTTGGATAACAACCTGTACTGAATATGAAATTAATGAGATGTAGCAAAGGTTTGGTGAGGTAAGCATGATAGTTTTTTATTATTTTAGAAGTAATACCATCATCTCCGCAAGAATTTGTATTATTTAACGAGCTTATGACAATAATTAGTTCTGATTCACTAACTGGTCTCAAAAACATAGAATGATGACAAATAGTCTCATATTTTTGTTCGGTTGGTATAATTTGTTGTGCAAGTTTTGCGCCAATAGAGCTGAAAAAAGAGTTAAATTCATTGGCAATCTCTCCAGCGGCAGAGACAGCCTGCCCACTGTCGTTTTTAATGCACTTAACACTAGATAAATCACGGTACTCATTAGAAGCTTCCTGAATAGTATCCCATATTTTTTTAGGATTTTTATAATTTTCATGAATTTTTGTACGATAATAATTAAATTTTACATTTTTGATGATTTTGGACAGCCTATCTCTATACTCGGTATAGATTCCAATGGTGTTACGATTATTATTTGATCTTATCAGCTCTTTTTAGTTGGTTTCTATGACGTATACAGCTAACCAGCCCAGGAGTTATCCATGGCTTTAAACATCGGTTATTATTGCTAATTTGTACTTTTTCCGTGCTTTGACTTACTAGAGATTTTAGTTTATTAATTAGTTTTTCAGCAATGACATCTGGATGACTTTCGTTTAGAAGATCATACCACGTTTCGTCCTTAAAGAAATTTAGCAGCCGCTGTTTATTTAATTTGTCAAAGGTTTTTGTCGGTTTAGATTCACCCCTTGTAGCATTTACTTTTATACTTGAAATAATCGGCAAGTGATCTGTTATATCGCTATCTAGAGCTGCGGCATTGCAATCATCAACGCCCTTAACAAAAAAATGGTCTAGACAAGATTTATTTCTAGTAGGGACGTTAATAAACGGGAAATATCCTAGAATCTGCGGGTAAATTCAAAGTTGTCAAAGTGTCAAATGATTTTGCTCAAAAGTTAACCCTTTAGGTTTTCAGCCTGTCAAAAATGCAAGAAAGTCAATTTTCAACTGTCAATATTTCCAAAACAGTTGAACTTAGGTATAGGGTATATATCACATGAAATCTGCTCAGAATTTTACGTAGAATCGGAATATTCGATAATATACAGAGGGTATTCCATTCAAAATAAGAAAGTTGGAGCACGACCGGCTTTCCTGAAACCCTTTATATGCGAAAGTGAGAATTTCAAAAAATTTAAATCAAACCCTAAAACTTTTATCTGAGACACTTTTTTCTGAAATGTCAAATAAAAAAGATAGTGGGGGTGACATTTATAACCAATAACCCTGTACCTAATAAATAAATCAGTTGTTTATTAAAATAAAATAAATTGCGTAAAAATATAAAAATTCTTTTGTTTTTACATTATTATAGATGGGTACTCTGTTTCCTTTTCCTGATGCAAAGGCGTAAAAGGGAAGACCATAAAACTCTCATAAATTTGGTACCTATGAATTTTGCACTTGCAATTTGCAAGTGGTGTAAGCATATAGGGTAGATTTTCATTATAAATTGGTTTAACAAAAATTTAGCACTAATCTTAGATTATATACAGGGTGGTCCTCCGGGAATGACATCGATTGCTTATGGGAAAACTGTGAACGGTAAAAATTTGAAAATTTGGCAACATAGCAATGTCGATGGGGGACATCCAGGTAAAATATTTTCAAGATGGCGGCATTTCCGGTCATACCGGAAGTTGCTACCAACTCGGTTATTTTAAATAGAACACCCCGTATATTAATGTATTTTTGGATTCTAAGGAAAATTCTAAATACATTTCATGTACGATGTCCTATACCTAAGTCTAACCGTTTTTGACATATTTAAGTTTTTATGTAAAAAATTACGTTTGCAGACCCTAAAATAATTGTCAGTTTTTCCTATAAGGAAGCCTTTATTCTTTGATTGAACCTTGATTCCTTGTTGAAAAGGACCTATTTTATTAGATTTTCATTATGTTTTGATAACTTTTAATACAGGGTGCTTAAAAAATAAGATTAAAAATAAAGTTGAGAAAACTTCCAAAAATCAATTTTTTCAAATGGAAACCCCAAAATTTTATAATTTTATCTTGTTAAGCATTAAAAATAAAGGTAAGTTTGTGCAAGGTTATCTATTCCGAAAATGTTTAGTTTTCGAAATATTGCCAATTCAATATTTTTATATGGCGATTTTGCTCTAAAAATAATAACTGAACGCACCCTAGCGCATGACTGAATGTCAAGCAGAACGTGCATGTCATTGTCACAAAAATTGAAATAATTTTCGATAATAATCATGCCGGGAAGATTAATGGCCATTTCCACCAAACTATAACTAAGCTTTGCTTAACTATGAAGCCCTTTAGGTTAGACTGGTGGAAACAAAATTATAATATAAGCGGCACTTAACGTTAAGTAAACTTAAATTTGCGTTGGTGGAAACGGCCATTAATTATACAAATTAAGATTATTTAAATTTATTTATTATTTATGGAGAATGTAATAAAGTTATTTCAAGAACATGTGATACATTTGCGAACCGATGTCCGCAGAAACAGAAACCAAGTGAAAAAACTGTTAATACCATAATAGCAACGTTAAGTTATCTGTCACTGTTTATTTTACACGTAAAAATAGAGACAGGTATAGGTTTTGAGCTATAACACAACTGTTAAAATAACAGGAGAGGATACATCATAGGCCTAAATATCATTCTGATGCTATCTATAGTCAACTTTAAAAATATAGGTACTCATACTCATAGTACTTTTCGTAAGTATTTAATATTCACTTGAAAGTTCAGTGCATTATATTTTCCGTATTTGCATCATTGATCAGTTTGCTATAGGTATATTTTTGTTATCAGTAGGTACCTCAACTCTTGTAATATTATTATTAATATTCCGAATAAACATTGTTTTTTTTTTTGGCATTGTTGTTAAATTATTACAAAGCTACACTTTTTTGATACAAATCCCCAAAAAATGAAGAAAAAAACAATCTAACGGAATATTAGGTCTGTTTATGCAGAAATCACAAACCACACCAGTCAGAGTGAATTTCATTGGTTGAAATTAGTTTTATGACTGCTTCTGACTGTTTTCAACCAATGAAATTCGCTCTGACTGGTTTGTGATTTCTGCAGAAACAGACCTATAGTTTTGGTCCCATCTCATGTATTTTTTTTTGGAAACAGTTCAGTTTGCTTTCAGTTTTTGCTCAAATTTATCATATTTAAAACTACCTTTGTGGAATTAAATATACATATATTTCAAAAAATGATTTCTTATGGGTACGCCAATGAGAACCTTTGCTTCTAATAAAATGCCTCTACGTATTACTTGGGAATACGTAGAGATTCTTAACACATGTTTGTGCCACCTTGCTCTAATGCTTTTAGATAGGGCGTAACCTATCTTTTCACGTTAGTAGATATTAAATCTATGGCACTAACAATGACCTATTAACACAGATAGACAGAACAGTAAACAATGGCTACATGGCTACGTTCACCAGAGCCAAAACGGATTGTAATTAGTTTACAAATACCAACAGAATATGTTTGGTAAACTCTTGGTTCTGCTGAACGATTCAACTTTTCAATGATAGAACATCACCTTCTGAATGACAGGTCACCACACAAAACACAATGTTGAAAATTATAAACACTCTGAAATTATGCTTGCAAAAATGGCGACCGTTTGCAAAACATGTTTGGTTTTAACACAAATTCAACGTAGCGTTTAGCAGAACAATCGCAAACCGTTTACCAACGTTTGTATCTGGTGAACGCGGCCAATAATATTGGTTGACTACATCCCAGGAACCGCATCTCTCCCCACTATTTATTAATCCTTGTGTTATTTTGTATCTTTCTCTAACACGTGGAATGCAATTATTTTTCAATGAAAATTAGCAACGCTGCAAGAAAATAAATTCCACCTCGAATTCCACCTTTCCACCAATCAGCGGCTTCTATTCAATAGGGAACTTGCAAGTGAAGTAAAATTTTCCAAATTTGTTTTAAATCGATAGTTTATGCTGCACAATATTCATATGACCAGTTTCTATTTAACTGATACCGCCCTTGTTACACAAAAAATAATATTTAATTTTGAAATAAAAACTTTCCCGCCAAAACAATGCTCCATGATGAATACCTGTTTTGACGACACGATTCTGTAAACAAACCCGTCAATAGGGAAATCTGTGATAGGGAACTTGCACGTAAAAAAAATACAAAAGCAGTCCTTCACAATATTCTTCATCGATTGCGACAATTTTCATAAAAAGCAAACTTTAACACACTTGAATAACACAAAAATAGCACTGCGTCAGCAGGAGTTCGTTTGCTGCGTATTTGATGTTTACAAAATCTCAACGTCACAAGCGCTGTCAAATTGAGATTTCGTGTTTTCGCGCCAAAGTATTTCATTTGAATTTCAATAATTTTTTTTTTCGTACGACGTATAAATTAAAATGGGAAAAAAGAAAATTATGTAATAACTCATGACTAGAAGTATCTAAAAAAAAATAATTTGAGAAATATGAAAATTCCCTATTGTCATGCCAATATGCGACCTACCTGTATTTTATGACAATTTCCATTTGTCAATCAGTGCGCACTGAGTGTATCCGCATCTTTTTCTAAAATCATGTAAAATATAAGGACAAGAATACACTTTTGTAGCACTGATTCTGGTTTCATTTTCAGAGTTGCCAAGTATGCGATAGTAAAGTGGGGGAGGAGTTAGCGGAATCATTGGAATCCCTACTCCTAGCCGCTTTCACACCTCACCCCCCCCCTGACCCATAAACATGTAGTCAACCTAAACAAAGCTATTTTATCAATGGGATGTTCTGTCTATCTGTGTTAATAGGTCATTGGGCACTAATGATCAAAATCAGAGACGGTTAAAAATACCGAAACTAATGTTTTTAAAGAAAATTTTGTAAAATATAAAGTCAAAGGAAAATTGTAAAAATTGGAGTTAGGCGGGATTTGAGGCCGAGACCATCGCAATGCTAGAACAAAGCTCTACCAACTCACCTATTAGGTAGGTTGGTTAGCTTAGTTGGAAGAGCTTCTTACTAGCGTTGCGTCAATTTCCGCACTTACTCCAACTTTTTCAATTTTCCTTTGACTTTAATTTCCATAAAATTTTGTTCACAATCTTATATTAGTCTTGAAGACTCTGCCACAACTTGGGGAATTTGTGCACAATCTGGTAATCTGGTAACATCGCATGGTATAATTATTATTCATCATTCTTTTGCTCTAGAAAGCCTGATGATGGGATGTGGATTGAAGATGCAGAAGTTTCTGATGCCGAAACTAGTTGCATAACTAATAATATCCGTAGACTAAAGTCTTTCTGCATTATTTCCATTTTAAAGATCATTTCATAATTTTATTCAGTCGACCATGAATCAGATTATATAATCAAATTTTGCTTTTAGGGTGATCCAGTCCAGGAGTAACGGTAACCCTGGATGGATTGAAAGCTTCTTGATCAGCTTGGAGCAGTCTGGCGGGTTGTTTATCAAAACCATCACCAGGAAAGTGGCTTACGAAACTGGGCTAGTCCTGCCGCCATTATACATGATGGAAAGGTAACATATTCATTTCATCTTAGGAGGTTCTTTTACTTGGAAGCAGGTATACAGTTGGTCCATTCTTAAGACTTTTGAGAGTAAACTATAGCTAAAACTGTTATCCTATTGGAACTATTGGAAAAAAAAATATGTTATACAAAAAGAATATTCTGAAGTGCTCCAACTTTTCGAAACCCAAAAAAGTTGAAAAAACCCGTATTCAAATAATATTTTCTATAATGTTTGTAAAATTGACAGTGGCATATAGTGTGTTGAAAATAATAAAAAGAAGCAGAATTCGTTTTACAGGGGAAGGTGGCCACATTTCCCTAACTTTACCAACCACCTCAGCAAAATACAAATTCCTAAAACTTTATGTGAACCAGGGGCGGATGGGGCCCCTCAGACCGGCGCGGGAAGTCGATTGAAACGGCGCCGCGCCTGTCCAGCAAAAAGAAGTGAAAAGCACAAGCGATTGACTTCTGCTCTGCGCATACCTTTCTCTCGAGTTGAATAAAGACAAGACGACGAAATTACTCTATTTGCCGATAATCGGAGCCGCGCCGCTCGAAGGTCAGTTCTTACAAAAATCACAAACCAACCAGTCACATAGTGTTTTTGATTGGCGCAAATCGCCAACAACCAGTTTTCTGACTATTTTCAACCAAGGATATTCGCTCTAACTGGTTTGTGATTTCTGTGAGAACAGACCTAGTGTACGGAAACGAACTCTCTTTCGCCCGTCTTTTTCTACTCCATCACACCTTTATGCAATCTGGAATAATGGCTACAAGATGGCGGTATTAAATTTAAAATCCAACGTTTCATTCCTCTGGAATCATCATCAATTTATTTTTTTCAAATACGGACCTGCTTTTTTAACTGTGTTATTGAAAAATTATAAACAATATCGGCTTTAGGATGCCCAAAGATGACAAAATCGCAAATAAAAAATCCAGGTCCGTATTTAAAAAAAGGAAGTTGAGGATGGCCGCCTGAAGACGAAACGTCGAAATTTAAATTTAGTAGCACCATCTTCTAAAAGAGAAAAAGTGACAATGATGAAGTGACATTTATTTAAAAATTGCTTTTCAAATAAGCCCGGGAAAAAATAAAAACGATTTTACAAAATTTCGGTTTTTTCCGAATATCTCCGGAAGTATTCGGAATCTTTCTAGTTTCAAAACGGCATTCTATTGGTCATAAAATTGCGCAACTTTTCCATAACCGACCCCGTTTCTCTTACGGTTACCGAAATCCCAATGATGAGGCTCGAATTTGGGCCACCCTGTACAGAAAAAAGGTAGTAAAATAAATCTAATAAATAAACAAACAAAAACAAGAAATACAGGAACCAAATTAAAACAAGACTATGCTGTCAATTTTACTTGACTTTTTATTCGGGTTAGAGTTAGTTCCGATAGTTTACGGTTAGCGGGTGTTGTTTCTTGCTTCGAAAGCTGTTTTTTTATCTGTCAAATAGTGGCTATGGCTACGTACATAGAGAAATATAATAGAAAACTACGAGAGACGTTTGTTTAATGTAACAATCTGGAAGTGTGTTTGTGCACATACCCGTAGCGTATTTCGCATGGTGTGGCAGATTATTGAACTAATTACTTCGATCGTTTCTGACAACTCGGTTTAATTTGTCTTTGTCAGCAACTTGCCCGAAAATTTTCTATCTTTTTTTAACACATACAAAATACAAAATTGTCATAATTTGACAAATTATTGAATCGTCTATGATTCAATCCGAAAACCATCAATCAAAAACTGAATGCTCATCATCATAACTTAAAATTTCTTCTATTATTTATATTAGAGAAATGAGAGAACATTCTGTGATCATAAATATTAATTAATTAGACAAAACCGACACCAATAATAGTGTGTTTTCGAATTTGCGATGATGCGAGATGCAGTAAAAAGGTAAACACAAAGGTGCACAAAGCTTATAATACAAACATTTTTAGTTACTGTATATTTATAAAATTGGAATAAAAAAATAGGTTTGTTTAAAGATATCTCAATTTTTGTATTGTTCAATTACCTCCTTGACCCCCTTAAGGAATCTCATTGCATCTAATTTGAATTTGTTAAAAATAAGTTCTGTTATTTTTTTTTTGCAATTAACTGTTTTGAGCGTTTACGGTACTTTATTTTTAATAAATCTTAAATAAAATCAAAGTTAATAATTTGATTATTCAAAAAAGCCGCCTTTTCACTGTCGGTGAAGAAGAAACCTGCATTTAAACAATGTTCACTCTTTTATTGCTGTCCGTAGCCACCAGAGGTGCTAACGTCGACATTGTGCCAGTTAAGTACAGGGTAATGACTTCTCTCGTAGTTTACTACTATTATATTTCTCTATGGCTACGTACTCGTTAACCGTAACGTTGAAGTTTTCAGGAGCAACGAAAACTCCCTATTGTAATATTTATTGAACAACAAGTTTTGAAAACGACTTTTTTCGCACGGCGAGACAGTTTATTAGACCGAGCCGTAGGCGAGTTCCACAAATCGAGCGAGTGTGAAAAAAGGTTTTCAGACGATTTTTATACAATGCTTTTCCTACAACTACAAAATAAAACAACCAAATATGTAATTTTTATTTGTTAGAAAACAAATCATCAACATCAGAAATTGGTGACAATTGCTATTTATGTTGTCATGTCAGGACGACAGGACCAAAATAAATAAAAAAACTAATTAGCATCGTGTGAAAAACTTTTCCACACGCTGTTCGAAGCAACTCTATTTTCAGAGGTTGCCTAGCGTGTGAAAAATTCCATTTTCAAAGGCAGTGGTAGGAAAAATAATAGAATAATAAGAATAATAATAATAGCCTATTACGCTCGTACAGCATATTTTTTTTATTACATATTCTAAAAGAGCATATTATTGAGTTTAGCAGTTGTGCAAAATTTCATAATTTTCCTAGCCCTTGTTCATATTTAAATAAATTATCAAAACGCTCCAAATTTGAAACATGGGGTGACGTCACTGCATCTCGCACGTTGGTCGTGCGGTGGTGCTGGTACGCCCGTGACTACTGGCCGAATTTATAGTCGTTCCTTGAATCTTCCTAGGAGTCGCGAGTTTAGAATGAACACTTGCTACTATTTGACAAGTGACTCATGACAATTCTAAATATTCAAGGCTTCCTTAAGGTCCGAGGAAACCTCAAGGCCCGACTATAAATTCGGCCCGGCAAAAGAAATAGTTGGCCCACCCCCACACACCAAATTTCAATTTATAATAGCACAAATTGTTCTCCGAGTTTTGCACCATTTTGCACCATAAATATTAAATTTTGCACCGCAACCCTTGAGTCTTTACAGGGGGTTGAAAGAGAAATAGTTGGCCCCCCACACGCCAAATTTTAATTTAAAATAGCACAAATTGTTCTCCGAGTTTTGCACCATTTTGCACCATAAATATCAAACTTTGCACCGCAACCCTTAGGCCTACACAGGGGGTTAAAAGAGAAATAGTTGCCCGCCCCCACACGCCAAATTTCAATTTAAAATAGCACAAATTGTTCCTTGAGCTTTGCACCATGAATATTAAATTTTGCACCGCAACCCTTAAGCCGCTACAGAGGGTTGAAAGAGAAATAGTTGTCCCCCCCCCCCACACGCCAAATTTCAATGTATAATAGCACAAATTGTTCTCCGAGTTTTGCACCATTTTGGACCAAAATATTAAATTTTGCAAAGCAACCCTTAAGCATCTACAGGGGCTTGAAAGAGAAATATAGTGCCAAAGTATCGGTGATGACGTGGCAGCGTGTCGTTTCTCGCCTTGACTTGCCTTGACATAGGGTGTTTGCACCACAGGCTATAATTCTGCTGGCGTCTGCTTTAATATTCTAAACTGCGAACACTGGCGCAAACAGCCTGCCGACATAAGGTGGGTTCGGCTTGCTCACTCCGTGCACTCCAAGTGACTCCAATCGCACTCCAGCCGTTCGGGTTAAGGTTCGGGTATTGCTTTTTACAGTTTTTACCGTATTAGGGGTCACTCCATTAGCTCTGTTCACTCCACTCCAACTCCGCGCTGAATAGCCGAACCCAGCTATGGTGATGTCGTAGCAACGGTGCTACACCAGATGACCTTGAAACCCAAAAAAAAGACGATAAGCAATCCGTGTGTAGTGTGTATTATCCTTGGGTAAATTCGAGGGTAAATTGTATAGGGTTTTCAGCTGTGTTGAAACAAAGTTAATATGTCGCTGGGAAACGCCCATAAACTAACCAAAAGTAAGTAACCCGTCTTTATATTAATATTAGCGAGCTTTGTTCGCGGATTATATTCTGGACCGAGTCCGAATCAGTCCAGAACATATTGATGGCGTTTCCGGATGGTGGAATTAGTGCAAAGAAAATGTATTTCTATCTTTTTCTTTAACAAGCTGAAAGAAAGAGATGAAAATACACTCCGTGCGCTATATAAATTGAAATTTGGCGTGTGTGTGTGGGGGGCAACTATTTCTTTTTCAACCCCATGTAGAAGCTCAAGGGTAGCGGTGCAAAATTTAATATTTTTGATGCAAAATAGTGCGTAAACTCAAGAAACAATTCGTGCTATTATAAATTGAAATTGCGCGGGGGGGGGGGAAACAATTTCTCGTTCAACCCCCTGTAGCGGCCTAAGGGTTGCGGTGCAAAATGTATTACTTATGGTGCAAAATGGTGCAAAACTCGGAGAACAATTTGTGCTTTTAAATTGAAATTTGGCGTGTGGGAGAGGCCAACTATTTCTCTTTCAACCCCCTTTAAAGGCCTAAGGCTTGCGGTGCAAAATTTAATATTTTTGGTGCAAAATGGTACAAAACTCAGAGAACAATTTGTGCTATTATAAATTGAAATTTGGCGTGTAGGAGGGGCCAACTATTTCTCTTTCAACCCCCTGTAAAGGCTCAAGAGTTGCGGTGCAAAATTTAATATTTATGGTGCAAAATGGTGCAAAAATCGGAGAACAATTTGTGCTATTATAAATTGAAATTTGGCGTG